GTGCCTACGGGGGAAGAAGCGGACCCAAAAACTGACCAATGAGGTATTCCATCTCATACGTCGTTCTCGGTATAAAGCCGAGGCATCACGAGGGTCTCGACCCTTCTTTCATCTTGGAGCCCTTCCAGCTTGGATGCTTCCGTCCGTTTCGATCCTGCAGAGGCTGAGGCCTGAGCAGAACCCTGTTGGTTCATCTGTCGCTGATCCTGTGTTCTGCATCCTGCTCCCACCTGCTGCTGAGTTCGGACTGGGACTTTTCCAGTGCCCGGCTTTGCAGAGCCTCTGGTGACGTATTTGTCATTGTGGGGAGGGTGGGGGAAGGATTTTATATTGGTTTTGTATATATATTTGTACATATTTGTATATGTTTCATTATTTTCCTATTTACATTATTACCCTGTAGTATTAGTATTATTTTTTTAATTAAATCTGTTAGTTTATTTTCCAACCCATAAAGTCTCTCTCTCTTATTCTCTTTTCTCTTCCCTTTTGTTTGGGGGAGAGGGGTTAATAGAGAGCGTCTGTCCAGGATTTAGTGACTGGCCCAGCCCTAAATCATGACACCTTGGCAAGAGAAAGCTGAAAATATCCACGGGTGCTCTGAAGAAGAGAGAGTGTTCCTATGGGCCCCTATCACCAGAAATCTTACAGTCCTCATGGGGGCATCCTGGAAATCCTGGCCCCTGATTCTTGCAAGTATTGGACTGTTCCTTCCCTGGAGTTACTACAGGCTGGAGAAACCACTGTATCTTGTCCGTAAATAGGCGCAGAGCCCTTCTGTAGCAGTTCCTGATCTCAGCACGTTTCTGCAACTGCTCTTTGTAATTCGTGGGTTACTTTAAATGGCTCAATCACAGAGATAGCATCTCTAGTTGAGACTAGCGTCCCTCCGCTGTGTTTAAAGATAGGCTAATGGCTGAGGTGAACTTCTAGTCTAACTCAAAGCAGTCTCCTTTATGGTCTTTTTGTGCTTGGAGCTAGATAAACAGCATGGCAATGTCTCCTTCACTCTCTTCCCTGCTGACAGTGGTCTCTGATTGTACCTCACATTGTGCAGCTGGTCAGTGGCTGTGGGGTGACAGACAGGGCTGGGTGTGTTGTCTGAGAGCAGAAGACCAGACCCATGGAAGCTGAATAGATTGAGCTGAAATGGGGATCACCTGCAGGTTTTCTCTGAGGCAGAGACCAGAGGAATGAGAATGGAAGTCCAGTTTCCTTCTCTCCTCCTGATTTGCCTTATTCAGCACCTGGGTGAGAGCTGGTCAGGAGAATTTGCCTGGGGTGCAACTTTCTGTGGAAACCGCAATGAATAGGTGATTTCAGGAGGTGGGAGGAGACATCAGTGACCTGTGTCTGGCCTGTCTGCTTTCCTAGGACTTGACACATGAGACCTCTCTGCTCCTGTCTGGGTTGTGGGTAGAGCATCTCATCTGTCAGACATGCAGGCAGATAGTGTGGTGTGCACCCACTGAGGTGAGCAGCACTTGTGCTTAGGGCGCAGGTCAGATTTGAGAATGGGCTGCCATCAGTGAAGTTATGTCTGTTCACAGCTGCAGTGCATCCTCTTGGTTCCTCTGCCCCTCCAGGACCACATAAACCACCTGCAGCTGGCTGGATGTTGTGGATTGGACCGATAGGCTCTCTCTAGTGTGCTGGGTCCCAAGTAGCAGCACTGCTGTGCTGGATGACAAACGTGTGGGGTGTGAGCACTGGAGGACAGCATGTGGGACCAGAGCTGATGGAGGAGGTCTCATGCAGAGCATGGAGTATTTGGCAGGCCTGTACTTTGGGGCTGCCTAGGAAATTCTATGTATGTCCGTGTTCCTGGCTGGCTGTAGCTGGGAATCTGGGAGTAGGCAGGTTTATTTCCCATAAGAAAGCCTTTATCTATGACCAGAGGTCCTGGTCACTCTTTTCGCTGTGCCAGTACAGCCTATTTTGTCCAAAAGTCACTTGCTCTGAACATGATCCACAGGAGTACCCTGATTATGCATGTCCAATTCTTAAATAAGTTGTAAAGTAGCTGTAATTTCACAGCTTTGCTGGTAGAGAAACAAAGTGTAAGGTAGTGTCTTCATCACCATGTAAGCATACACCTTTCTGTGTTTATCTTTGCTATTTTTTGCTTGTTATTGCTATTTATTTGATCAAGAAAGTGTAGAGTTCAAGCATAGCTCTCTGGCTAGTTTAATTTAACAAAGGAAGAATTCATATTCTTATTAATATGAATCTTCATCAGTCTGGGGCCTTGCTGCCCTCACATAGCAGCATCTCTCAGGCTCTGTGCATCACTGGAGCTGCAGGTTTATTTTTTGTTTTCACATGTTGAATTTCTGGCGTTTAGCTCTGCTGCCTCTCTCAGTGTGAAGTGAGGCCTGTGTATTTCCCCAGTTAATTCTGACATGCATTAACGGCAGTAAAAATAGGTGCACTGCTTATGCTTATCAGCCTATTGAAAGGAAGGTGTGCAGAATTAGTGTGTACAGGTTTATTTTTAGCACTTTACAGCTTTACTTGCTAACTCAGGTTTTCCAGTCTCCTGTGCTCCATTAATGCCTCATGTCATGTTAGGAATGAATCTCCATTCTCCTCTTATGATGCCATCAGTGGCTGAAGGACAAAATGGCCCTGTGTGCTTGCAGCTCACCAAGCAAAAAGATTTTAGTTCACCTTCTAACTACAAGTTCCTATCTTCCCACCTGCCCCCCCCCTTCTACTTGTGGTTTCTCTTAAGCCTCACAAGGTGTTTTTTGTCTACAGTGATCACACAAAACTTTATGCATCTTTATATAAAAAGGGGAAGTGAATTCTCTGGCTAGCCAAAGGTGGTGTGAGCAGTCATTAGCCAATGTAAGAAATCAGTTTCTAATCTTATCTAAAAAAATGTTTATATATGAAATTTGAGAGGAAAGAAGGTTGCTCTTAAGAGGGGGCTGCTGACTGATGACAACACAGATTGTGCATCTGCTGTCATCATTATCCTGGCTGTGATTTCTTTTTTGTTAGCTAGTGAGGATGTGAGGGACAGAAGGAGCCTAATAGGACTTCATATACTGCAAGATGTATGGGACACTTGCAGTCAGAAATATTGAACTCATAAATGTACTCATTTGCCCTGGAGTCACTGAGAGGGAGACTAAATACAGGACACCGCAATGTCACAGTCATGCAGAGTCACTTCTGTAACAACAGAGCTACAGTAGAAGGGCCGTATTTTTCTTTGATTTTACTGCAAATCTGTAAATGAGCTCTGTGAGGCTGCTATCATTGGCTGGAGAAGAAGGTGAACCTTTGCTGGATTTGGCTGTATGCAGACCCCTTTTGCATTTTGTTGGTTTTCAGAGATTCTGTATATTTTGGGGTGCTATTTTGAAGTGACCCTGCACATGCTGCCTGTTCTGTCTCGTGTCTCCACCACAGCACCACAACTCTGAGCTCTAGCAGCTTGCCCTTCAAGCATGAAGGTGAAATGGAGATGAATGTACACATCTGAGGCAGATGGTTAGCCCCAGTCTTGCAGTGGTATTTGAGAGAGGTTTTCCTCATGCCATTTCAAGAGCACAGAAGGAAATGAAAGTGTTTCTTACTGTAAATACTTTTCTCTCTCCCCCTTCCTCTACACTGCTGTGAGTGCCTGAAGATTCACTTCACTGCTTTCCTCAGAGAAGGCTATTTCTGTCACCTCTTAGATCAATTTAGACCTGTCCTATGCACATATGATAAAGTCAGAATGGTGTTATGGTAGCCTTGAACAAAGTTGTAAATTTTGGGCACTAGGTGCAGAAGGTGAGATGTAATTGTCATTGCTAAGAAGTCAGAAGGGCCAAACCACTGGCTGAAATGTGGGATTATCAAGTAGAGCCAAATTGCTTGAAAAACAGTGCAGACAAGGGGTTTAACCATTTCTCAGAAATGCATGTATACATGAAATTCCACCCTGTGGATCTTCCTTAATGGGCTGTGTCTACATCTGTGTCCAGAGAACAGCATCAAAGTATAAGATTCCCAGCTGCATCCTGAACTGCTGTCACAGTTATTCCCCAGCACATCTGCTAAGTGTGTCTAAAAAAGTCCAGATGTTGGCTCTCATGCTCTGGCAGTTTACTTCCTCCTGTGAGCGAGACTGTTTTGGCTGCGTTGCTTGTGTAATCCACCTTGGCACTCAGTGCAGAATACCAGCATACTTTAAGCCACCTCAATGAGTGTGAACCAAGTATCTGGCCCTGTGTGGCCCTGGAGATAACTGGTTCACAGCGGTTCTTCAAGACTGGTGTTTCAGTCTGGTCTCTGGGATGTGTATTCCAAACACAGCTGAGGTGGCTTTCGGGCTGCATTCAGCCTAGTTTTGCAATGCAACGCAACTTAACTTCCCATAACCTTTCTTTGCTTGGGGTGGCTGTACAGAGCCCTTCCCTGCGTGGCAGGTACCATTTGATCACTAGAAGAGGCCAGTTCAGGATGGCGACATAGCCCTTGGGTACAGAGGGGGAGAGCCTTCTCCCCCACCTCCTGCTGGTGAGACTCTCCATGAGTATGAGTGATGGTTGTTGGCATTTCAGGAAATGCTTCATGTGGCTGGACTGATTTCTCTTCCCTGGGTGGGGATGCTGTACTTCGATAGACTGGAAAAGATAAAAAATATAGGTGTTTTGCCTTTGCCTGCTCTCAGCATTAGCATCTTCCTAAATAGGTTGAGCTGACCAGGAGATGTTTGTGTGTCTCCTCACCTCTCTGCCCTATTCTCACACTTGCAGCTAGCTCCAGGTTGCGAGGCTCTGCAGAGCACATTGTGGCTTGCGTTGGTTCAGCCCGAGTTCAGTCACCCAAAACCTTGCTAGTCTATTTTGAAACATTATTCAATCTGTCCACTATGGACTTTCTTTTCTTTTTTTTTTTTTTTTTTTTTACTCTTGCTTCTGACATCATTTCCTGAATGCTATATTCACTGAGCTCTGTAGCCAGATCATCTTCTCAGCATACGATGCAAGGAGCACTTTAAAATGGATTTCAGCTCTCCTTTTACTCTGCAGTGCTTGCTGGTGATAATAACTGTTACTCATGGTAAGTGGGATTTTTCTTTATGAAGTTGGCACAGATTCGGCTAGATGAGCAGACATCTTAATTTTGCTCCAAGATCTTTTAAGGACTCTAGCAGGTTTGGGGAGACATCAAATAGCGTAACTGCTAATGCATGAAAGGGGCAATCAGACCAAAGAAAGACAGGTTATTTTTTTTAGTAAATTAATGATAACTAACAATATATTACTTTCTCAGTGTACTGTGTCTGTAAAAGCATTTCAGCGGAGAACGTAAGGTCCTTGTACACATAACGCTGGCTGGAGGGGCTGGAGAGCAATGTGGTCTCACTCCTAACGCTCAGTGTGACCTTGGGTTAGTCCCCAAGCTGCTGTCACCTTGCCATTTACCCATCTCTGATTTGCGTACAGCAGCTTAATAATGTGCAAGGGTACTGTGAGACTCGTTCAAGTTAAAACTGCGACCTTACTCTTTGGGTAAAAGCAGCTGTGTAGGCAGCAGTTGTTTTAGCTGCCCTCCGTACACGATCCATGGCATTGATGACATGAGGATATTTCTTTGCACAGTCTCTCAGCTCTGATGGGGGGTGGTAGATGGTTGTGTCAAATTTGGACAGAGAAGAGACCTGCTGCTCAGCCTTTCTTCGCCCTGTGCGCATGGTGTGCACACCACTCCCATGTTATCGGGGGGAAAGTTGGCCTTTATAGAAGGCTTCCCACTCCTCAATTTTCAGTTGGTGACCCCAGCCTGTCACTAGGGGAGGGTATGTTCCTCTTGTGTCTCACCTGGGCATTTGCTTTTCTGGGAGGCAGCCGAGAGGGGATGGATGGACATGGCAAGCTCGCTGCCCACACTCTGCACTTCTCCTTTCAGGCTCTCTCACCTGGACCGGTGTGCTCAGTGGGGGCTCAGCAGTCTTTTCGGTGGGAATTCAAAGTCTGCAGACCCTCTCCAAAATGAGCAAGAGGGACATGAGTTGCTCGACAGCTGTCTTAAATGAGACTTTGTTGGCCGAGTGCGGCACTTCTGCCAGCAGATGCCTGAGCTTTCAGAACGGCTCCCTAGTGCTGAGGAGTGTGGAGAAAGAGGATGAAGGAAAATATGAGTTTGTTTTTCACAACACCACCAGACTTTTTACACTGAAAGTATTTGGTAAGTGGCCTTTTTAGCAACAAATAGCTTTTGGACTTGTGAGCCTGGCTGGAAGATGATGCCTTGAAATTCTTCCTAAGAGGCTGCTTGAGCTTGCAGAAACTGTTGGTGCCTCTGGCACCTCAGGGAGAAGTAATGGTGAGTCTAAACTAACGGATGTTTTTTGAATCCACACTGTCACTCTGTCCTATCTGTTGAGCCTTCCTTGAAGTAGCGAGTCAGTTGAACTATGTGCTATTTTTTCCTGATGTAAGAAACAGCAGCGTCAAGTGTTTGTAAAATCAACTGTACAGTATGTAGACACATAGCTGGAGATTTCAGTCCATTTTCAGAGTACTCTTCCTGATGGCTTTCATGAAAGCTCTCACTGACCAACAGCATTTTGCTGCCTGTGGACACGCTTCCTTAAGGAGTTAATTGTACCTGACTCGGCTCTGGAAACTGAATCGGACTTCTGTGCAGGTCTGGGTAGAGAAGTGCTAGGTTTTTCCCCTGCTTCATGGAGCTGAGGAAAAGTACTAAAGGAATCCAGGTGTGAGTTTCTGATTCTTAGCTGACTCCAGGCAGCTTGAAGGTCAGCATCTTCTGGCTTTATTTAGAGACCTTACCATGCCCGTCTCCCTGCCATCCTCCCTGTGCTCAGAATTGCTGCTCCCCTTCACATGCCTGTTCATCCATCTGCTGGGTGAAAAGACAGAAGAAAAGTCACTTCTGTACAGGATCCAGCTCATTGTTTGGGTTAATATGGAAAAGGCTTAAATGGGTTTGCCCCTCCACTGAATAGTGCTTCAGACAGCCAGCAACCATTGCTCTGGTCCTCATCACCACTGTTCCTTTTGCAGGGCTTTCACTATACAAGCTTCTAAGAGAAATTGAAGCGTATGAAATTGTAATGAAAATGTCTAAGCAAACTGGTCTCTCAGTGAAGATAAATGAATCCTTACGCTGTTCAGGTGCAAACAGGCGGAACTGTCGCTGAGAGTAGGTCAAAGATGTGACTCCTTGGCATGAAGATCAGGGGTTTAGACCTGAAGTAGGCAAAGATTGAAGAAGTATCCTGGTTTTAACCTCAGTTTCAGTGCATTTTATTTGGGAATTTTTGTCTCTTTGTGTTCTGTTGCCACATATAAATTAGAGAAAAAAATTCATAGCAATGGTATTCATGGAGGCAGTGAATTTTAGCTGAAGATGATGTTCTAGCTGAAGAAAGTGATTTCTGAACTTCTCCTGGATATTTCATAGATGTTCTCTCTTTACTGTCATACGACCGCACCTCTTCTCTATCTACTCTGTATTTGCAAAGTGGCAAATGTGGGAAATAGGTTGGCTCCTTGTAGTAGACTGAAAGAGAGAAATTCAGGAAAATGTAATAAAAATAATGATTCATACCTTAATTTTAAATTGTTCTAGTCCGGATCGTCCTATTTGATTGCAGGTGTCTGGTGTGGGTACCTATGTTGGGTATGATTTGTACTAGTTCTTCTCTAAAACGGAAGAAGAATCAGAGCAACAGCAAAAGTGCAAACTTCTAGTTGAGGAGAGGGCTGAATCTTCTCTCAAGCTATGGCTACCCTCTGATTACAGAGGAAGCCTCTGGCTGGCAGATGCTTCAGGAGTTTCCACCATCCTCTCCGATCAGGGGCTTTTATTTTTGGCTTTTTCAATTTCAAGAAGGAAAGTGAAGAGAGGCCAGATTTTTGTGGTATCTCCAAAATAGGGACCAAGTGTCGCTAGCAGGGTTGGGTGGGCAATGCTAAGTATTTCAGGACAGGCACTGAAGAGTCTAGTTACTTATTTCTGTGGTCCCTGGCTACCAGTAAATGCAGTAGTAAGACTCCTGGTAAGGGAAGCTCCTGTCCAGCTCATGTTCACTGCTGAGTCCTCTCCTCACCTCTCTTTTTCCTCCCCATTCCTGTTGCCCTGTGCTGTGTGTGACCAGAGCCGGCCATAAGTATCCAGTGCTTCCCTAATGGGACCGGAGAGTTGTTCTGCGATGTGACCAGCAACGAGAGCACCAGCTTTCGGTGGCTGCTGAATGGCACCGCACTGAGCGCCCCTGAGGCTTGTGTTAAGGATGGCGGGAAGAAGGTTCGCCTGGACAAAACCGTGCCGGGGGAATTTGTATGTGAGGTTCACCATGGGACCGCTATCACAAGGACCAGGCCCGTTGTGCTGTCTTGCAACTATGGTGAGTAACGGTGTCTCCAGAAAATCTCCCTTTCGGTCTCTTGCAGCAGGA